TAACTGAGCCGCTCGAGTATGAGTATCCGACGTTGACGGGCTGGTCGAGGAAGATGACGGAAGCATTGGCGTTCCAAGAGTAGGGGTTGTGCTTGACCTTCTGGTCCTTTGTGATGGAAGCCGGGCCGAGCTCCATGAACAGGCCGGTGAGCGAAGAGCAACCGGGTCCACCATTGAGCCAGAGCACAACGGGGTCGTTCTTGGGGTCGTTTCGCGACTCGAAGAACCCTGCGAGGTGTTAGATACAGGGGTGTGTACGATGGCCATGCGGGTACTCACAGTAGAAGAGGTGCTTGTCCTCCTCGTCGTCATCGAGGTAACCAGAGTACTGCTTGACCTTGTCAACGCCGAGCACGCTGGGGTCGACCTTCTTGGCCCTCAAGCTGTACTGCTCGAGCTGGCCGTCAATCTCGCGCTGCTTCTCGCCGTTCTCGTTCTCGACCCAGACGCTCTGGATGTCGGCGCCCTTAATGATGTGGTCCCATTCGCTGTCCTGCTTGCGCGTGTGAGGCTTGGGCTGGGAGAAGAAAGCAGCCTTCTCAAAGCTCTCAGGGAACATCATGGCGACCTCGTCCCAGACGGCGCGAGCCTCGCCAGTGAGCGACTTAAGGCTCTCCTCGAGGTTTTGGAGCGGCTTGCTCCATGACGACGTCGACTCCTTGAGCTCGCTGAAGGAGTCAGGGAACTTGAGGATCTGCTGCTGCTGAGGCGCAACGGCGGCGGATGCGGCTCCAACGAGGAGCGCCGATGCGGCGACCTTCATGATGGCGGTGCTAAGCTTCCGGAGCTATAGCGGTAGATGAGTGAAGACAAGATGAGCACCTCTACAAATGAATGAAGAAGCACGCGGTGATGGATGGGCAAGAGGAGGGATGGATGGAGAAGGAGGGATGGGATGGGTCTAGTTAAGTCAAGCTATGGGTAGCTCTTGTGGAGGAGGCGCGGCTTGTCCAGGCAACGGAGCATGACGCATCCCAACAGCTTATCAGAGTGGCTGGCCCGTCCGAGCTCCAGCATCACATGGGCTTAGCGTTTCACGATAGCGGTGATCGGCGCGTGTGGCAGGACACGCGCCGGCCGTGGACAGCTATCATAGACATCATGACGCTTGCAGCTTCATTCCCGCCGTCTGGACATGGAAGCCGTGGCGAGTTCCTGCTGCCGAGCTGTCTGCGCACCTCGGGAAGCTAGAGCTGGACCTGCATGGTCCAAATCCGGCCTAGCGCCCTTCCACTCATAGTGACTGCACCTAGGCATGTCATCGCGCAGACCCCACCAAAATGTCGTGCAACTTTTATGACTTGCGCCCAACATCTACAGTTCAACCACGATTATACCCATACCAACACCCGTAATCACTCAAGATGCCTGTCGGAATCAACCAGCCGTCCAACCAGATCAAGCTCACCAATGTCTCGCTGGTGCGCATGAAGAAGGGTGCGCAAACCTCGCCAGAACCTCATGTCCTACGCAAACTAACATCCCACAGGCAAGAAGCGCTTCGAAATCGCATGCTACAAGAACAAAGTCCTCGAGTGGCGCAACAAGATTGAGAAGGATCTGTCCAACGTGCTGCAAATCGAGAACGTCTTCCTCAACGTATCAAAGGGCCAAGTCGCACCAAAAGCCGATCTCGAAAAGGCCTTCCCGAAGAAATCACTCGAAGATATTATCACCGACATACTGGATCATGGCGAGCTGCAAGTAGGCGAGAAGGAGCGCAACGCTGAGTTGGAGAGAACCAAGAATGAGGTCATCGATATCGTGGCGGGGAAACTTGTGGATCCTAAAACAAAGCGTGTCTATACCACGGGCATGATCGAGAAGGCTCTGGACCAATTAAGCTCGGCAGCGGCGACGCAACAAGGGGACAAGAGTGAGAATAAGGAGGATGGTGAGGACAAGGGCAAAGCCAAAGAACTGCCCAAGTGGTCCGGCATCGTCACAAACAAGTCGGCCAAGTCGCAGGCACTGTTCGCTATGAAGGCCCTTATAGCCCACCAGCCGATACCCGTCGCCCGTATGCAGATGAAGTTGCGCGTTACCTGTCCGACATCCGTTCTGAAGCAAGCCATAAAGACCGCCCCCAAGGCGCAAGCAGGCACCGAAGAGAAGGGAACTACCGGCACTGTCAAGGATGCGATACTGGGATTTATGGAGAACATTGAGAGCCAAGAGACAATAGGCGCTGAATGGGAGGCAGTCGGTCTCGTCGAGCCTGGAGCCTTCAAGGGATTAAATGAGCTCATCGAGGGTCAGACAAAGGGAAGAGGCAATGTCGAAGTTCTCGAGATGGCTGTCGGTGCCGACGACTGAGTGGTGACACGTCTTACAAGCACGCATTGCGCAGGATACTCACCCTCGCGTGCGGCAGCATTAGGACGGAAGCTACCTTTCGCAGGACAAATTCCTGTGTCTCTTGAGGATGAAGCACTTGCATTCATGAACGGCAAGGAACAAGACGAGCATGGTCTTTGCGAACATGTCTTCAACCCCACAAAAGACCGCTTCTGGACCAGTTCCACCATGCTTGCCCTGGCGGAGCTTTATACTGCCCCCTGCCATAGCGTCGGTGCCCTGGAGAAATGCGGACTCATAGCTAGACGTTACTCTAGAACGTATTCTGCTAGACGTATACAGTGAAGCGAGCGCGTAATCAGCTGCCTATATGTCCATGCACAACAATCCGGCCCTGTTCACAACTCTATGCATAGCCGTCAGCCTCACATGAAGCACCACGACTTCTCCCTTTATTCGTTCTGGCGTATTACCACTTTAAATCTTCCCCCAATGCAGTGCTACCTGCAACGGTTCCGATGCATCAGCACAGAGCCACTCGTTGCGGGACAGCTGTTTCCGACCTGCATAGCCTCGCATATTCGTGCATGTAAGTAACGTGGGGTAGTCAAGATTGAGATTTGGGTAACAAAGCTTCGGGGCTGACGGTTTGGGGGATTTTGTGTAGCAGTGGGGAGCGATAATAGTCACGAATCGGTATTTGCAATGATCAGACAGGATGGCTTCGTGAACGCGCAAAAGAATTTCATTTCATGGCAGTAGTATACACATGTAAGCTGGTCGAAAGTCGTGAGAAGAGTCGTTGAGTCGTGCTTTCTCGTTGCTTGCGTCTGTTTTCGTCGTATGCTTCGTGATCATGAGTCCTGAGTCATTATCGTTACCGTGTGAATGCCGTACCTAACCCATGCTGTGAAACAAGAAAGTCGCCAAGAAGGCATGTCCACAGAACGAACATCCAAAAGACAGAGAGCAAAAAGAAAAGCTTGTAACACCAGATTGTCGTCGAAGCCGTGCCGGCCCATCTCAGACACACATTCAGCTCGCCGGACGCATCCGTATAGCGACATTCTCAGTCACTACCTCAATCCCACCACCGACGATTAGGCACACGCCCATTGTCGCTCAATATCCCAAGCACGTCAGCACTACTCGTCTGCACTCCCCACACCCGCTCAATCGGATCCGCAATCGCCATCCAATCTAGACCTCTGACATCGTACATATCCAGTACTACGCGAACTAGCCACGGCGAGTACATCGGACAACTGGTGTCTTGGTAGAGAAACGGAGAAGTTGGTTCAGCGACAACAACATTATCCTCACGACTGGTCTGCTGTGCGAACGATAGGGGGTGAGGACGTGGACGACGACGTCGCGACGAGTGCGATGGTGGTGGTGGGTTTGAGAAAAATTCTGTCTCGCTCCCAGCCGAGCTTGGAGAACTTGTCGCTGAAGAAGCGGCACTAGATGCATCGGAGAGAATGGATTCATCGCTCATCTTGGTGTTCAGGGGGAGTAGCATTTGAATGGAGCGCATTGCTCCCTGTGCCGCAGCTTTAATGGCATCGTAGCTTGAAAGTGTGATGAGCGAGCCAGTGGACTTTGACAGCGGCGATTCTTCCGTAGGAGAACTACTGATACGCAATGATGGTGAGTCGAATGATTGTGATCGTATGCGCACTCTTGGCGAAGGAGTACGTGGTAGTGCTATGAATGGTGCCATGACGGGGCAGTGACTGCGGCCGGATGAAAAAAAATCCAGACGAAAGGAGAAAACGCAGCGAAGAGGCCTTCCACCGGCCTAACGAGTGTCGGTACCATCAGTAAGGGTTATATCCACAGTAGTCACCTCAGACATGCGGCCGTTTCGCTAGCCCTGCATATCGAATATGCAACCATGCCACGAATTCGGCACCATACGAGGAAGTCACATGCCTTCCGAGTTCCCTCCTTTGAGAAAGGCGTAAACTGCGGGGAATACGGGAGCACCGACGAACAGGAGACAATGATACTGCAGATGCCGATGATCGGGAGAGGTCGATTTGTTGCAGGATGCGTGGGACAGCGCACTCCACACTTGGCGCTTGATCTATCAACCAGATAGGTCACAAAGGACCGACATAATTAGTTAAATATGTGTGAACTTCAGGAGAACATTTTGCGCGCGACAGCCGCCACCGATCGCAGCTTCGATCCACGTTCGTTGTTGTTGTGCATGCTTGTGGGATCAAACGGAACCAACCTAGACACCTTTAGCGGACCGAGCCGATAGCTCTGCTTACCAAAATCAAGAAGCGGTAGTCAGGAAACATAGTGTGCACCGAGGTACTAACAAGCGTGGTGGTGGTGTGACGTGGTGGGCGAAGTATGGCCGCATATGCGACGTTAGTCCTTCATCACCAATTACTAGGCCTATCTAGGCACCATACAGCCATTCCCCCGAGATGGCCAACACGGCCCATCGACTGTCGAAAGCGAGCACACGTCATGTTGGAACAAGTCGAAATTTGAATGTGTGATTTTGGTACAGGCTGTATTCGGCCAACCCTAACCGTGCCGCACCACCTCACTCCACATCGTGCATTGCCGCATGAAGTGTAAGCGTGAAAGCCAATGAAAGCCGTTTGATAAACACCGTAAGTGCACCACCCATTTCGTAAAGGCATGTTCCAGCCCCAGCTGCCCAGCGCAAGCGAAAACCTTTAACCCTTCTTCTTGGAGACACCGACGGTTCGGCCGCGGCGACCGGTGGTCTTTGAGTGCTGACCGCGGACACGGAGGCCCCAGTAGTGACGGAGACCACGGTGAGCGCGGATCTTCTTCAAGCGCTCGAGATCGTCACGGAGCTTGGAGGCGACACCGTTGGCGAGGACCTGGCTGTTCTTGCCATCGACGATATCACGCTGCCTGTTGAGGAACCAGGAAGGAATCTTGTCTGTGGGGTGTCAGTGTGGGACCTTTGCTACGGAAACTGCCATTGCGTACACTGGAGAGGGTTCTGGATGATGGTAACGATACGCTCAAGCTCTTCGGAGGTGAGGTCACCAGCGCGCTTGGTCAGATCGACATCGGCCTTCTTGCAGACCAAGTTGGAGTATCGGCGACCGACACCAGTGATCTTGGTCAAGGCGTACATGACCTTCTGCTTTCCATCGACGTTTGTGTTCAACAAACGGATGATGTATTGGAAGCTGGTAAAGTCAGCACTGCTCTGGTCATACAATTGTGCCTCCGATTCTGTATCGCCCCTGTGCGTAGATCTCCGCAGTCGAAAGCCATCCGCTACCTCGATTGGCCACTTCAGTCCGAACAGCATGTCGAAATCCTCTCTTCGTGTTTGGTTCCCATAATCTTCTTACAACACTTGTTGCATCCATTCATCGTTCTATCCTCTCTATCCTCGGATTGCTGCTGGACTGGAAGGGCGAATCGTGATGTTGTGCGGCTTGAATCGGACCAGGCGTATCGAAGCGAAGGCAGTGGACCGGACAGGAATCTTCAGGCTGTAGTCTGTACGTACTTGGACTTCTCTCCGGAGACGAGCGCTGTAATATTGTCAGCATGTCTCTACTTGGAGTGTCTCGACATCGATCATTGCGACCCCACTCCGCGCGCTGAGGGAGGCGCACTCGGCGCGAATAATGCCAGGGTCGCAACAAGTGATGCAAGTCGACAGTATCCGGGTATACTCACACATGATGGCGGCTTGTCGTACGTCGTCGATGTGGTGTTGTCGATGCTCTGGAAGTCAAAACGGCGGGATCTGAAATGCTGAAATTCGCTTAAGCAAGTGGTGGGAGCGGCACTAGTGATGACGCTAACCATATCCGTCGCTCCACCCGTCGCAACTCCCCTCTTTGTATTCACCCAGTCTCTGCGACTCTGCGCAATCGTTTCGACTCGCAGTTAAACTCCTTGCACATGACGTCTTGCTTCACCACTCTTGTCGCCATACCTCTGCAGACAGGATGCTGTGGCTATGAGCCTGTGGCTGTACACTAGTATCACAGGGTGTCTAGCGATGCACCTCTTCACCCGCTCAACCCCAAATTGTTGCCTGTGATACAACCGGTACGTCATTTATTCTTTCCCTGTTCATTTCATGCAGTGCTTGTTGTCACGATGCCATGATTCCAGCCACATCGCTGTCAGCCTCCACAGGTTCGTGAGGGCGCGAAACTTCTCTAGGACAGCTGCGCCACAATTTTGGCCTCAACAGTTCTCCTCACGGCCAAGTCATTTGCTAGAATTCATGATGCCTAAAATCAGGCGCAAACTATCAGTCGGTGTAGCTGCCTTATATCCACATGTAGGCCTGGTTGTTAAAGGTTCTTATCACCCGTGAACAGAACGAGTACTTGATAGCGCCGCCACAACCTATCCCTACCAATCACTCTTCCTCCACACAGCCTGAGGACATACCCGTTCCTAAAAGAATCTTTCCGTCTGCCGTTTATTTACTCTTTTCTCTGACCGGATCATCTCATGCATCAAGCGAAGCATTGTCTGGGGCAATACAGTCGCGGAACTCGATTCATTGCTTAGCAACGGCCGACAACCGGGAAACGTTCGTTCGAGATGGACTCTCAGGCTCCCTCAGTCATCCCAGGTGGATCTTCCAACAGCCTTGGATTTACAGCGGCTCCCCTTCACACGGACGAGCTCGCCAGACATGACACTGCATCGTCTACCGGAAGTGCAAATCGATTGTCTGAAGGCTATTGGGCACTGAACCTCAGTGGCAATTGTTCGAGCTGTCACCACCACCACAATTCTGTGCAGGTGCGTGTTCGTGTATCAGGCGACTCTACTGAGGTCGGTGACGTCCGCTGCGATAAGTGTAAGAAGTTGTGGTTAGCCTTCGGGAAAGGTAGTAGCAGGCGATTATCTCTTCTTTCTACGAAGAGCCTAGATCGGGAGTCGCTCGAAGCTGAGACCGAATTCCACAGCACCCTAGTCAATATCATCAAGGCCACCAACCCTATTGCCGCATTGCATCCCACTCTTACGGCCATCCCAGAAGTCGCATCAGTCAGTCCATCACGGGAGACATCCGTGCGCTCGACTGCCCGTAGTCATATCCAACGGCACTCAGCAGCCGTGGGCAGCGAATCCAAGCCAGACTCTTCCGAATTTAGTGGTGCGGTCCGAGCACAAAGCCTCAGCAAGAAGTATACGAACATTGGCAAACTTGTGATATCCAAGGGCCGGAAGAACTTTCTTCGTCTCAAAAGGAAGGTTGCACCAAATTTCCGCACGTCACAAGTCAGTACCGACAAGCCATTGCTCCCAAGCGAGGATCATCCCACTCGAGGCGACCATAGCCAGGTTCAGGCGCCTACCATAGCACTTTCGCCAGCTCAGGCAGATCTAACGGACGTTCACTTAGATCATGATGCCGAATTCAGCGAAGGTTACCCTGATGTCTGCACTTCGTCAACTACCGCTGCGGGTGCGCTAGCTGCGCTCAAAGCGGTCGACCGCCAGGCCATCCAGGCTCTACCTCCATGCGAGCGCTTCGATTGGGGCCGCAGGCAATTGTCAGAATTTAAAGCTCGATATACGGGATCTACCACCTTGGCCAGTCTTCCTGTTATGAGTGATGTCGGAACTCAAGCTGACGCTTCTGAGGACTTGCTCTTGCTTCGACCACTTGTTAGACGTCACTCTGCCTTGGCCTATGTTGGAAACATCTTCGGAACTAATGAATACTGGGATACCTTCCGGGGAAGTACCCATACTCTAGATAGTCGGCCATTCAGCATGAGCGAAACGAATCTTTCGGACGCTGATACCGCTGTTGAACGAATGACCATGGCTCCTACACCACATCAACTGCTCATCGAGAGCTTGCAAAGAGATCGTCGTGGCTCAGGATCTTCTCGTCCTCTCTCGATGCATAGTATCATGAACGACTGGCAGCAAACACGTCGAAACCGAGGGGAGGCTCGCTTATCCATTGATTCGGCTGCGACTGGGAATGCTGTCAGAAACATTACTACCACGCGAGGGCGTGCAAGTAATCATCTCTCCCGCAGTTCGATGAACAGAACATCCTCAGTCTACGGTACAGAACCGCAAACTCCGCGCGCCCAATTCCACTGAACAAAGAGACTGGATATACGGAGGTACCTGGACGTGTAGACCCACCTTCTATTCCATCACTGATGTCCGAAGTCGATGTGTGTCCATAGGATTCCTACGGTGTCACGGGGCTGGATGGGCTCCAAGCATCTGTTTCGTGGTGTTGCTTCCCAAGTCGGATTCATTTTCATATACGACATCGTTCGTCTTGTTCCAACACGTTCTCTTCGGCAGTTGCGTCGCTACATCACGAGTTTCCGAATTTTCGCTCTCTAGTGTTACGAGTCAAATGGGCTAGAACGGAATCTTTCAACTACGAACATAGTTCGCCATGTGTTCGTTCGCCCAGAGTTTCCTTAAGTACAATCGGATATTAGCGTTCTAGAGACTTACAAATGAAGCGTTTCGTTTTTCTTTTTTTCGAGAGAACATTTTCTTCTAAATCCTGTCCGCTGTCACAATACCTCAATGACATTGGTCTAATCGACATGCTGGTACCAAAACGCGGGTATGACGCAGTTGAGTAACGCTGTATTATATCGTGGTGACAGTATGTTCCCTAAAAGCCTGTATTCACTGTGTACAGCGTAATTAACACCATCGCTTCGATACCTCTACGCAAACTCTCAAAAAAAGCCTATACTATCCGTCATTGCTTCCTACCAATCGTCAATCATATCATTAAACTCTTCACTCTCCACATCCATGACTTTCCTGGCAGCCTCACTTCCACTAACAGGTAGCATCTCCAGTCCACCATCTTCGTCATCTGTCTTCTTGAAATCTTTTGGCACCTCTTCGGGGTCAAGAAGACCGACCTGGAACAGCACAGAAGCTTGGTCCCAGTACACCCTCTCGGACCATATCTTGCCAGCTCTGAAGCCTACAATGCTCACCACCACTATCTCAACTTTCTGGTTCGTGGGCTCAACGCCAGGAAGGATCCACGGCATCTGGCAGGTATGCTTGAATTGTATGTAGAGTTCGTCTACGATTTGGTCGACGCCGACTGTGCGCGAGATGAGCCGCATGTGCATCGATGGTGGAGAGGTTTTGAGGAAGTAGTCACGGTAAAAGCGCTTCAAGTCCGGAAGTCCGCTTCCACCAGTCATGGTTGGTGTGAAGTTTATGTAAGGCGTAGGCTTTTTAGTGTAGGTTTCTAGGAGTTTATCGACGGATTTGCCACGGTACTTTTCTGCTTGGTGTCAACTCTCATACGAATGAAGGCAAGGGGTGACTATACGCACGTTCTTCGTTTTCCTCCAGTACCCGCTCCAAATCCACTTCGGCACTGAAACCCCGACGAACTGTACTCAAACTTCTACTCCAGGCGAGCGCATCAGCGACGGCATCGTACTCATCCAGATCATGCTCTGCAAACCCTGCATCTACACCTTCGTATGTAAAGCAAGGATACAAGATTTTGTCCTGTAAGCCTCCCGCGCCTATGCCGGGTGTAACACGCTTCTGCACCGTTTTCCGCTTGCCCTGTATACCCAGGACTTCTGGGCGACGCGTAACGCCTACAGTATTGTCGTTGCCGGATGTTCCCTCAGCAAGATGCACGAGCACGCGAAAAGAAGATGTAAAGCGATGTCGCGTATCGGGGATGGATGTTGGGTAGTAAGCGATGAGGGAGCAGAGTTTCGAGGTGGCTGTTTTGGGTTCAGAGAAAACGTCTAGACATACGGCTGCAGCGTCACCGAAGGCTGGACAGATATAGTCAGTACGTGTTTCGGCTGGTGATTAGGCGCATGACACGCGCCAGGCTGTGAGGGGCTTGTATACCTACGATGGCGTACCGTTCCCCAATGCCCATCTTGTCGCCTAGTTTATGAAGCGTTTGCACATATTGCTTCCCGCCTTTTCCGAAGGGTATGTATTCCACAATGAAGCCTTCGTCGCGCCATGCCTTCATCGTCTCGATGTCGAACTCGGTGTCTTCAGCGGTGATGTACAGCACAGGCGTGCTGCTCCTAAACGACAGCCAGCCGTTGCGGTCGGCAAGAAATTGTTGCGCCATCTCGTGGTTCGGAGTCGTGGTCGCAATGGTATGCGCGCTCACGCGATGGCTGTGGTAGCTCCACTATTGACAAGCGTAGCTATCCCGGTTTCGTGTTGGATCCGTCCGACGATGGATGAGATGTTATCGACGGCGTTTCGCGATGCACGATGTCAGGTCGGGTCCTCGCAGACTGGCAATGGCAAAATGATCATGCATGTAGCGGCGCATTGTCGGTGTGGGCTCACATGAGTATTGTTGAAAGCTGGTTATTTGAGTGGCTCCAGTGGAGTCGCACCGGCGTCCTCCATATCGTGCATGACGTAGGGCCTGTAAGCCTCTCTCAGCTAAACCGAAAGAGGCGGTGCCGTCTGCGTCGCACCTGATCTCGTTCATCCTCCTGGAAAGTTGGCCTAGGTAAACACTGCAGATGGTCACAAGATTTTTAGATTTTATCAACATGCCCTCGACAACCCATTGGCTGTGCACAATGTGAATCGCAGTTGTGGCAGGCTGTAGCAGCTCTCGAGCCAATCACATCGCCCTGGTGCCTGATTCGTAACTAGGATGGACGACAGTCGACAGATACCATCACGCCCTCCAGTTTCTTC